ACTTTAGTGCTTCTCTAATGTGTGCTGTATATTGGGCAGGCAAGCGGTTTAGAGGTGGATTAGGGTACTCCTGTGGTCCAGTTTTGTTTAGCAAGGGAGGTGGCAAGATGCAGCTGTCACTTAGTGGTGGCATGAGTTACAGGAGCTTCTGCAGTTTGTTGCTGTGAAGGAGAGAGACTCTGAAAGGGCACGTACCAGGTTTCCCTGCATATCATTCCTCCCCTATCATTGCAACATGGCTCAGGTGGGGTGTGCAGCAGACGGCTGTGTGGCTCCTGGATGCTGCGAGGACTGCTTGAGTTCTCGCCTCCAGCTGTGCTGACCCCTTGGGCTGTCCCTGTGGTATCTGAGAGATGGTCAACATTTTAGGATGGGTAGCAAGAATAAGGTGTATAAACAGAAGATTCTGGTGATATTTTATTGCTGCTAAATTTGAAAAGACCTCACTACTCTTTATTTGCAGTACCAAATAGGTTTTAAATTGTTTCACATTTTTCTGGTTGGTATTTTGTGTGCTAAATACAGATGAGCGTGCACACACACATGAAAGCTACAAATCTATTAATGATTATCCTCCATTGTTCTCTAATTTTTTTCTTTTCCTGTTGGACAGGTGTGCATATATGTTAGCTATGTGCACATGTGCATTTACCTGATTCTGTTGGTAGGATCCTGTTTCTGAAGGTCGGCACATTTACATGCACATTTGATGGTGTGGCAGTGCTGAGGTTTGTTTAAGGGTGGTAATGAACAACCTACATGCTAAAGATCCTTATCCTTTGCTTTCCAAGTGGTGTTGCAATAATTGAAAACATGCTTTAGTAGGCTCTTAGAAGTTGATTACAAAAACTGTAATTTTTCTAGATTTGCTAGATTCTTCTATGCTAATGTCAAGGGCATTTACGCTGCCAGTTTATAAATGGAGAAAATACTGACCTATAAATACTGTAATATTGAGCAGCAGTTCAGTTGCTTCTGTATCCTGCAGACAGGCAGCCTCATTTGGTGAGATTTGGAATTTAAAATGCAGATTATCAGGGCAAACCTCCTCTTTTCATCAGGCAGACCCTCATTTTATATAGTAGGGATTAGCACAGTTAAATTGTACTTTGAAATGGGTGTTTCAGCCCCCTATCTGATTAGGGCTGATTTGCTGATTTAGGGGATTTTACTTTGTCTCCATGCCTTATTCTCAGCCATCTGAAAGCGTATTTGCTTTACTTCTCGTGGCTGGCTACATAATAGCAGTATAGGGATTGTATTACACTTCCCAGTCTGTTGATACAGAGGACTGGGCAAGAGCATAACAAACCAGTATGGCTTCTACTCCCTGTCTCAAGGTAAGGCTAATCAGCTTTTCTTGGAAACAGCAATCTGGGATTGCTTTCTCTCTTTTACTTGTTTTTTAACTTCTTGGTGCCAGATGCTTCAGTGCATGCAGTGCCAGGAAAAGACATGCGCTCCCTGGATTAGTAGTGTCACTTTTGCACAGAGACATTTCAATATTGTTTTTCCCCCTTCCAGTAATGAATCTGATGTGGTATTTAGGACTCCAGACAACATGCTTTCTGTCTCTAGGCTGGAGTTTAACTTATTTTGTGTTTCCAACATCCGTCACATGTTGCGACAGTTTTTCACATTTCATTATTAAAGAACTTTAACTATCTTTTCTATTTCAAATCCTGTGCCTTAATAGCTTCTTAGTTTAGTTCCTGCCCTTCTGGCTGGAAAGAAACAAGATAGGATTTCATCCAGACCCCGCCAGTGTGATTTTATAGCCTTTGTGAATATCTAGCCACGTGCACTTCACGGGTTTTAATATAAGTAAAAATTTGGGGGGAGCAGGCACTTTTCTAACAGCAATTCTACTCTTTGAAATAAAAACATTCTCTCTACATATGTGTGCTTTCCTATGAAAGCTGATAACATTTTACTTTAAACATGGAAAACATAATCCTTGTGGATCTCCAGACTGCACAGTCTGAACATTGACCAAAGTATTCTTCAGAAAGCCACTGGGGATTTATTACTCCTGATTTACAGCTGGAGAAAATGAGGAGATTGTTTAGTTGGTGGCAGTACTTTCACTCTGGTTGAGAACACAGACTGGATTTGAGAAATGGGAGATTCTGAGCCTGGTGCTCCTTTTCACTAGCGCATACCCTGCCACAGTTGAAATAGGTAGATTAAAGCTCTTAGCTGATTAGAGTTGGCTTAAGGCTTTTTGGTTTGTATTCTGTATCTGTTCTGTTCGGAGACGTGAGTGAGAATCGCAAAACGTGTAGCTGACATTCAAGAGTTTTGCTGGACTGTGTTTCTGCAGCTATGGATGATGCAGTGCAAATACATGGTTTCTTCAGCAGGGTGCACTTTTTTTTTACTTCCTTACTCAGTGCCTGGTTTGTTCCATCAAATAACAATATGTATTTTGAGACTTATTAAAGCTATGTATTTTGAGACTTATTAAAGACTTGAGGAAATTGCAGAAGACCTGAATGCTGTGGCTCTGACAGGGAGGTTGTTAGTACAGAGTTAAAATGGAAATTTGCTGAAAAAACAATAGTTAGCAAATGTTGACAAAGGTAATTTGCACTTTAAAAAGCTAGTTGTGTTTGCATAAATAGGTGTACACACATGAAATACACATAACATGCATATATAAACAAATGAGTTGTTTTCCCTATTTCAGACAGTTCTAAAGCTTCAGCACTTTAAACCTCAGCAAACTGATGGTGTTCACTTGCACTCTGAAAGTGAAGCAATAGATTTGAGTCTCTGCCTGTTCAAGCCCTCCTTGGAATTTGGAGAACTTGGAAAACTCATTTGTAGTGTTTAATATCACTTGAGTGGGTTCTCATGTTGAGTTTTGGTTTCTATAGAAGCAGAGATTTGGTTTCTACAAAAGCAGAGAGGGATCATGTTGGGCAGATGAGCACCGAACCAGTGTGATACAGAACGGAACTGATGTGCCTGTCTTCTCAGTCATTGCTTGGCCCTCAATCCTTTTTGCTAGCCAGCATAACATTCATATTTTTTAGCTTGGATCACAGTCTTGCACAGAATTTTGTTATTTCTCTATTATAAATTTCATTTGTTATTACTTTTTATGCAGTGGTAGTATCCACAAACCAGCCAGGCCTGGACTGTGTTGTGGTAGGCACTGCAAAATATAGTAAATGGTAGCATCTGCCTCTTAGAGTTTTTACCCTAAAAAGACCCCCAAGATCCTGCAAACACTGCATTTACATAAATGCCGCTGATACCAGGCAGAAATTTATAAATATCCTGTGTTGCTCTGATTATTGTATTATATACTACACAAATACACTTCTACTCAGTCAGAAATTTACTGTATGATTATCTGCATTTAGTTTTCTTTAGAGCAAAACAAAAATGTTAAATTAGGGTAAACCAGTTCCCAGCAAAAGCTTGAGAGAGAATGCAGGATTGGGGAAGACCTTTATGCATCCAAATCAATAAGAAGTTTGAAAGTCATATGTCTTCTAAAGAGAAGGGTTGATTGGAGGTTTGACCACTAGAGTGGTCTTCATCCCTTTTTTTTTTTTTTTTTTTAAATAATTTCTAAGGCATTAAAAGTTCCTGTCAGCCATGTTATTAAAAAAAAAAAAATCTGAACAGATGTAACTTTTTTTTTATGTAATGCTACTGCTTTAAAATAAATTTTCCTCAGGTTTGCTCCTGATATTTAATGATTATATTCTTTGTGAAGATGTTTGTGATGATAGTCAGAAAATAATCATGGTTGCTGGAATTCATTATCAAGCATGAAATAGAGGGTACTCTAACTGTGATAGCTTTGTCTTAAAGCAGGAAAATTACTGATTTCTCTCCTAGGTAAAGACAGGTAAAGACAGAGTATCTGGAGAACCAAAAAATGGGAGACAAATTCAGTTAGCCCTGTAACTGTAAGAGAGTTATAACTAGAAAAATATGTCCACAAAGCAGATATTTCCAATTGGTTCCAAGTCAATTCACTTATCTGCTGATTGCATGCGATTGCAACTCTTCACTTCTCCATGTGCAGTGACTCATACATATGTTCTTGGAATTCAGCTGAAAGAAATTCTGAAGTATAATGATCTTAAAAGAGGAAGGTCATCTTTTTCTGAGGGAAGATCATTTTATCTTGTTTACTCCAAATTAATAATTGGTGTTGGTCTGGAAGTAAATTATACTGGGTAAAAGTCAGTATTACACAACTGAATCTCATGTATATGCACAGTTTAGGCTGTATATGTTTTGTTCTCAACAGAGCATTTCATCACAGCGTGATCATTGTGGTTATCTCAAGAAAAGGAGAAAAACCACCTAGTACTGCAACTCCAGCTGTTGGGTTTTCATCTGTGATGCATGAATTTCATATGTTCTATAAACATGTTGTACTCAGGAGCATCACATAGATTTATTGTTACATCTCCAGACTCGTTCTATAGTATGTATGCTATAGGATATATTATAGAAATGCAAATTTGAGTTAATTTAGAGAAGTCTCTTTAGAGGCAGAAATGGATGTGGAAGTTCAGCAGAGACAAGCCCAAGCAGTGTGCATGTTAGTTTTGGAGCGTGATAATTTTTTTTTGATAAAAGATTACTGTGCTACTACTTACCTAAGTGTGTACCTGATAACTTCAGGGGGCAGAAAAGATGATTTGGAGTAAAGGGGTAAATTGTACAAATTTGGGGGGGTTAAAAACAACCTAAAACTTAGACTGTGTATTATTTTCAAACATAGGAAAATGAGGGGGGTTTTTTTGCTGACACATTTTATAGTTTAACACTAACACTTAAAGACTTTTGTGCTTTGTGTGCAGGTATATGTCTCGAGTCCATGGTATGCATCCAAAGGAAACCACACGTCAGCTGAGTTTAGCAGTCAAGGATGGTCTTATTGTTGAAACCCTGACGGTGGGGTGTAAAGGGTCAAAAGCTGGTATTGAACAAGAAGGATATTGGTTGCCAGGAGATGAGATTGTGAGTATAAAATCTTTGAGAAAATAAATCATGATTTCTGGTATCTTAGCATGAAACTTGTTTTAATTTCTATTTAAAATTATTTATAGATGCTGTGTTGGTGCTTGTAAACAGGGAAGTAATGCACTCTTAAATTTTTTTAACCTTTTCTATTCCATAGAAGGTCTTTCTCCTTGAATTCTGAGGGCTTTGCCATGAAACACTGGCAAAGTCCTTTGCTCAGTCATCTCTCTGATGTGTAGTATTCTCTTCTACAGCTGTATAGGAAGACAGTAAATATTATTGGTATTACTTGAAATCCTCAGATGTCCTCAAATCCCAAAGACAGTATCTTTAAAAAAAAAAAAAAAAAAAAAAAAGACGAGAATTTTTGATTAATCTTGCTTTAATCTGAATCTGAGAAAGGAAGATCTCCTCCCTTTCCAAAGTGCAACAAGAAGTTGTACATTTATATATAAACATATGTGAAAAGATGTGTTTTACAGATCTTTGTGAACACCAGGGCACTCAGTTAGGAAGGATTTTCTGAGCAAATTACTTACAGGCATCCAGACATTGTTCCACTGGATGTGATTTAAATCGAGTTGAACAGGTTGAAAATGATGTGAAGGGAACAAAAGCATGTTTTCTGTATCCCTCCATAGCTGAGATGGAATGCACTCACAAAGTTAACTGAGAATCATCCCATAGACGAGGAAAAAGCTTACACAATTGCTTTACCTTGTTCAGAAGCCTGATTTCTGTATTTACAAAATCATGTTTTCATAATTAAAAAAAAAGAGTTTGGCAAAGCTTTAAAATACTTGCACTAGGAACTGTTGCTTTGGAATATAAATTACATTAAATACTGATAAAATGGACAGCATTACCTCAGACATAGATAATAATTTAATTTTTGAGGAAAAACAGAAGAACTCTACAGGAAAATAAATTCTAAAAACCACCAAAATACTCATTGCAGCCATCAATAAGATTCTGAAAGTGAAACAACAGATTTTTTTTTTTTTTTAAGTGAGAAAAACAGAAAGTGGAAACAAGCAGTATCCATAATAGAAAACATGATCATTAAAATTATCCCAATTATACTAATCTAAAGTATTGAAATATGTATTTAATGTACAGTATGTCACTGTTAAGATTCTAATTCTAATTTCATTAGAAACCCTCAAGGGAACCTTTAAAGGGTATGTAGCTTTGTTTTTACTATTCTCCCTGGGAGTAAACATTTCAAAATTCCAGCTTAGCTCTTTTAGGTATTTCTTATGTAAGTTTTATCTGTTTGGAGGTGATGTTAACTGTGCAGACTCAACATGACATAAAGTCTGACATCTGTAGTTACCTCAAGTATTCAATATGTTTGTTTCCTCTATTGCTAAGAGGGGGAAAAAAAAAAAAAAGACTTTAAATGCCTCTCAATAGCCATTTGTTAAATGGTCATTCAAAAAATGTTCCTGCTACTTATTAACAACATTTGTCTAACAAAGCTTGTAAAATAACCAGCATGTAAGTTCCCAGTGAGTCATTAGAATTACGTAATTATTTTATCTCAGAATGAAGAGTTGTCTTTGACTTGACTGAAGATGCTGCGTAAGTCGCATTATGAATAGCCCTTTGGTTAGAAGTATTGACTGTATTTTCAGCATGACTGCTAATTGCTGATGCATTGTGCTGTGTCCATATGTCTGATGGCCATCTCAGTTGTTCAGAACACCAGTGCACACTTGACTTAACAGTTTTCTGCAAAAATAGGAATCGGCTTCTGATCCATGCCATGTTTCAACAGTACCCAACCTCCAACTTCTTGATCCTAATACTGAATGAAAATGCTGCAGACACATGAAGCAAAACATACTGACTTGGTATAAAGTCATTCTCTTTTTTCTTTTATTTAGAAAATTTTAATGAGTAACAAAGTGTCATTGTCATCACTCGACATCAGATCAAGTATTTTCCATTCTCCAACAATTGGTGCAAAAGCATGAAGATTGGTATGTTGTCTATATTGGACACACTGGATAGTTTTGCAGATGCTTTGTCTGCACTTGATCAAGATGCAGTTTGTAGTTCTTTGTAATTCAGTACTGCTCAGATCTGGTACTAATGACTGTTGAACCATGAGCTCAAGTTACATTTCAGTGAGGACACATACAGGAGGCTTTTCGGAGATCCACTTGTAGGAGATAGAACTCTATGAAATAGGGCTATTAATGTTGGAACAGGGATTTCAGGCTCATCAAACATTAGCATTTCCAGACAGGCCCTTGACCCAATTGGTACTACAGGAACTTGGAAAGCTCATAATGTGAAAAAAAAAACCCAAAACCCTTGAGAGCTGACCCACCACCTGTTGGCGTTGCTACAAAAATGCCCTTGGTTTTTAGCTTGTTTTCTGGTACCACAGTGGAAGTCAGTAAAGACCAGCTGTTTCAAGGAGTTAGCAGAGGGACACATTCCTGTCGTCCCTCCCCACATTTTTTATTTGAGTATTTGCTTGATGTTCCTTTACATTTTTTAAGTTTTGGATCTAAATCTTAGCATTTAAAATCCATATTCAAGTATAAATTACTGGCCTGGGCCACAGAACTGCTGAGCACCTGTATCTGTTACTTATATAGGTGCCTGACTAGAGGCTGCCACAAGGCCTGAAAGTAGTGATGACTGCGGACTGATTGCTAAATGGTAACAATAATTAAAAGCATACAGATTATGAAAACACAGCTCTATTTGGAAAAGATTCATTGGATAATCATCTGTGGTGCTTGCTTATGTGTTTCCAAACATTTGCCCTATCCAATAGGTTGACATAATGATAGATCTGTGCAGTAAGGACACAATCTCTGATAGGGTTACTGTTAGCCTTCAGAGGAATGTGTTAAAAAATTATGCTATTTTACTATCATCAGTCTATGAGAATAGTGAAGCTGTGGTAAAAAAGGAAGTAAAATCTCATATATTTAGAGCAATCATACAAAAGAACAAGCTGAGGAGCAAAGACAAAATAGTTTGAGGGCATCAGGAGGAGGCCTTTCTAAAAGGGACAACAATGAATATTCTGAAAAAGTGGGAAAAAGAATAGTCTGACTTAAAAGCGTATAAAATTGTTCTCTTTTTCTCTCAGGTATATGTGGGAGAAATATTTTTATATAAGTTACTAAATTTAAAATATGGAGTCAGTTGCCAAATGTGCTATATTCTAACTGATATTTAAGGGTTGGTACCTATACAAGAACTTTGCTGCAAATAATATACCTCCGGGGCTTGTGCAGGTACTCATTTTGTTTGCTCATTTGCCATCTATACAGATGTTTTGCAGATTTTCAAAATGTGTTCTCATCTTACAGGCTTTCTCATCTTGCAGATGATTAATGCATTTGACAAAAAATAAATGAGAGAAGAAATTATTTTCTATTGTTATCCAGGATTTTAGTTAGGACCTTTGCATTTTCACTGTTTATCGATGCCATTATTATGCAATTCAACAAAATCTCTGCAGCTTCTTGCCTTGCAAGGGAAATGTCAGTCCTGAAATCTGGTAATGGTACTTTTTCCTTCTGAAAGCTGTATTTCTATTTTTCACAGAACTTGTGGAATTTGGAAGTGTTATTTATTATCAACATAGAAGAAATTATCTCCTTGCTCTTTGGGTTTAGAAAAAATTTGCAGACCAGTCTTGTTAACAATGTTTTCAGTGCAGTCAATAAAATAGAAGGGAAATGTAGTTCTTGAAAAGAATCATGAATCTCCTTACCTATTCATTTATGTTTTCAGTTATGCCATGCTTTTTGCATACTTCTGTCTGTGTAAAATAGTGGTCAGTCTAATCCCAATGAATGAAATCCAATTAAAGCACCAATGTCATGTAGCTTTGTGGGGGGGATTAGATACAGTTCTTAGAGTTAGTTTGTCTTGCTCATTTGCATATTTTGTGATTTTTCTACAGACAATGTACACGGAGCTATTTTGAGCATTTAATTTGCTAATTCTTCTCCTCATGATTAAAGTCATAAAACTGCACTGACCCAGAGAGAGGCATTATGAATGTATAATTTCAATTTACATGTGTTCATAAAGCCAAACAATATTGTGCCCTTCTAAAATGGAGATGTGTTAGTAACATGGGTTCAGTTTTTGCATCTGATGCAACATATCTCATAGCACTGCTGTGGTTTAAAGTTGGTTCATAGTCTCCAAATTCTTTAATGAGTTGTGAAAAGTCAGGCTTCACACTTAGTTAAGGCACTTTGAGCTATTTATTCACTGACAAAATGCATACAAGGTGGTTACGTTTTCAGGAAGTCACTCTTTTACAGAGTTCTATTTTCTGATTATTCAATTGATTGCTTATAGAAAGAGCCAGCAGCTCTTCTGGCTAGTTAAGTCTGACTTTGGGGTTTAGTTACAGGCATTTGGTCCTCTCCAATTCTCTCTAAAGGTTTTTTTGGTTTAGTGGAGAGCATGTTATTTGGAGGGGCAGTTTGCTTGCATTCCTGTTTTTAGACAACATTAGTGGAATGTTTTTTCCCAACACACCCATGTTTCATAACTTGCACACTCATTACTGGGTATTTTCTGATATTTTATATCTAAAAAGTACTGGTGCTTTCTCAAAGTGACTCCAGATACTTTCAAGTCTCAAGGCTGCCTAAATAATCCATCTCTTCACTCTGTCTGCTTTCCCATCATTTTAACCTTCGTTGTAACCCACTGCCAGCACTGTGAGTTTTGAAGGTGATTTCCTAACCCCAGTGACCTTAGGCACACGCCCAGTGGTTATTGTGATTTGATGTATTGCAGGTTCAATTTTGCTAGGATCAATCTATGAGAAAGGAGTATTTTAGCTGTTATGTTTGTGTTAACGTAAATTACTTTAGATTGAGCAATGGCTGGGTTTCTTACTTGCCATGCTTAATTGCTTTTGTAATTATATTGATTTTTCCATGCTAGGTCAGTATTGGTAGCCAGAAGCTGTTTTTTGAACTGGCTATGTCATCTTGAGTATCCATAAATATGAAGATAATTGTAAAAAGCTTAAGAATGGTCACTGTGAGGGTTTGAATCTTTAATGTATGTAAAATACACTTCAGATAAAATAAAAAACCCTCAAAACTAAAACAACCAACATAGCTACCAGTTACTGCTAGCAAGCTAGGGGCTTATAACTAACTAGGTTGAGGAATGGTTTTAATGTGCATCCCATTCATTACAGTTAGGAGCAGAAGGATAATATGAAACAGCAATAGTGACAGCCAGTGCCTTCATCATGAAAGTTCTTAAAACTAGAGAGCACAAAGAGGAAGAATATGTCACACCAAATAAAGAAAAATTTCCTTCAGTATTTAAAAAATTCTCCTTTTGTCTTATCCATCCATATTGCCTTTAATCTGAAGTCCTGTGTGAATTCACTGATCCAAAGCCAAACGTAGCCTAAACCATGATAATTACTATTTCTCACGTATTACAACAAATTGAGGATTTTCCAGGCTGGAACGTTCCAGGTAGATTCCTAATTATTGTGAAAGTACCAGTGTTCTTTACATTTGGTGATTCACTGGTGCAAAGAGTTAATGAATGATCCTGTGGGAGAGAAAAGTTCAGACCATCTTCCATCTCTTATTCCACACCTCAGGGAGAGTATGAGGAGACTTTGAGGGTCAGGGCACATAATAGTCTGGTCACATGAGAGCACTGAAGGGAAATGAGCTTCTGGAACTCTTTGAATCTTTCTTCACTGCCTATCTTCCCATCCTCTAAGGTCCCATCATTCAGAGCTTATTTTGTCAAGAGACTGCCACCGTATCAATCCACTGTGTACTAAAAGTGACGATTTTTCTTGTAAATTGTTATCACAAAGTGCAGTAGTGTAAAACTCTGTTTATTAATGATCCAAAAATTAGTGTCCACTGGTGTAATATCCTGCTGTGGATTAGTGAAAGTTCAGAAAAGCAAATATTTTCAAATCACCAAATCAAAGCATAGACCATTTTGTCCTTGAGAAGCAAATTTGAATTCTCAACTCTCATCTCATGGACAAGAATTTGTTGCTGTATTAAAGCCAACACCCTCCTTTGTCTTTGCATTAAGGCTATTAGCATGCAGCTCATGAGAGTGGCCTCACTGCCATTCCAGTGGCTGTTCCTGTCTCCAGGTGGATTAAGAATCATGAAGAATTCTCTTCATTCCTTTTCCAAACTTCTTTTTCTCTTCCCATCTGTTCAGGAGTATTTCTTTCCTCTATGTTCATCCTTATTTTTCATCCCCTAAAAAAGGTTCCACATTGTTTGGAAGAATCTTCATATTACCGAAGATGACACTAGTAGAGTCCACCTTATTGCATACCTAAGAGATGATACTTCTTTTAAACTGGTAAAACCACCTCATCAGCATCTCATTTGCCTTTCCCAGCTTTGCCAACTTGACTTTAAAAATTCAGTCAATGTAATGCTCTATTCTTCTTTGAGGCTTTCACTCACTGTTCTGGATTTGAGGTACTGATGATTGTTGTTCATGGATTTCACAAAATGTTTTTTCCGACTGAAAGGGTGTTTTGGAGAATGATAATTCACTTACGGGTTTGAAGTAAGCTAGTCAAACTGGCCTGTGTAAAGCTTCCATCATGGGACTCAAATTATGCTAATGGACTAGAAGACATAGATCAGTCCATCTTGAGTTTGTTCTGAAAATATGCGTCTTGTTTTTTTCCACCTCTTTTGTGCCAACCCTGACCTAGTAGTGTTGTTTTTATTAACATTTGTGGGTTCAAAATGCTCTGCATCTCTGGCAACTGTTTTGAATTTTTTATTATGATGTCATGCTGGTCACTGAATGAAACTTCATTGAAGCTGATGGGCTTATTAACATTCATGCTTCCTTCATAATGAATGCAGCCCTCATGCCTTTATATCACTGACAGCTGAAACAATACCAGCCACACCTACAGCACGGGGGCGATGGACAACAAGTTGGACGTCTGAAGCGAAGTGTGTAGGAAGTTTTGTTGGTTCAGATAAAATGTTTCTGTGTGTGCAGAAACATCAGCCTAGAAAAACACTACAAAATCCTATGGAGACAATAAGGCCAGAAAAGTAATGTAAACATATTTTAAGAAAGAAAAGGGGAAGGAGATCACTTTGTGCACGGTTCTTCTTGGAAGGATACTTGGAACTACAAGCAAAGAGGTGGTTTGTTTTCTGGTCTGGATTCATCCTCTTTGTAGGAGAACAAAACCTTCACATACATAATGTGGAGATAAAAGGCATTGCACCTAATAAATACTTCACTCCATCACTGATTTATCTCCCTAATGAAAATAGCGTACAAACCTCCTCTTGGCTCAACCTAAGTAAAAAATTGTGACATTAATAGCAGAAGCAAATCCAGTTTCTGAGGAGATAAGTTGAAAGTTTCTGTTAACCTTGAACTCACTTGGAATGTGAAGAAAGAAAAAAAAAAAATTCATTTGAAACTATTTTCTGTTTCTAATATCCTGGAGGAGAATACTTATATTGTCTCACCTCAAATAATGTAAACTGCTGCTACCCAAACATGATCTTCTTGGGAGGGAAACTGAGATTTATTCATTGCTTCAAGAACAGAGCTCATAGGCTGAGAAGAGAAGTGTGACAGGGGTTTTCACAGTCATTTTGGCTGCTGGCATGCTGCTACACTTCTTGAAAAAACTTTGATTCTTCTTTAGCTCTGGGAGCTAGAGACTGGCTCTATACTTTGGAGCCTGTCATCCTGAATTGTCCAGAACATAACTACAAGGTAGGTGAGGGAATAAAAATCTACCTGTCTTGGCAGGCAGCCAGAGAAGACTTTCATGGTCTCTGCCAGAAACAGAAGACTTCTAAGACAAACTGGCAATAAATTAATTAGACAAACTTAGGCTTGCATATTAAACTCTGTGAAAGAAAGCCAGAAGTGTTCTGGGAGCCTGTGGAATTCACTGCAGAACCTGAGTCTTCTTGCATCAGTGCATCAGAAGAGGAAGCGGTTATCAGTGAAGAAAATGGAAATGGATTATCACAAGCCTATAAATATGTCTGTGTTTAATATGCACTATGGAGAAAGAGATTTTGGTCTGTGTCCTCACTGATGATTTTGTGTTGGTTCTTTTTATAATGAAATGATTTCTAAAATGAGATAAATGAAAAATAATGTAAAAAAACTCCCCAGTTAATTGCCAAGATTTTGAAAATCTTGGCCATAAAAAATAAATAAATGAATATACTTGGAATTAAGCAAGATGCCTAGGTAGTTGTGAGGACATATGAACTCATAATTGGTTTGGATTTCTTTGTGATAAAATGAGTAATGAATACAAAGTGTTCTACAGGGTCAGTTTATGGAAATCCATTTTAAAGATGAATCCTGGGTCATCAAAGGAAAGGATCTATAAAAGCGACTGCTTTGCAATGGACAGATTATCCTGTCTGTAAAAGCACACATCGTTGTAGCTATGTGCTGTGGTAGTTTTCTAGAAAAGGAAGGAGAAGATAAAGTGAAACAACTTTCATAAAGGGATTCTAGCTGCTGAAGTCTTTTTGGCTTTGAAGGAGATGGATGCTTGTTTATTTGCTGAGCACTTTTGATGAGCAAAAGCAGTGGGGAAAAAATAGATGCAAAACAGGAGGCAATGTATCCAGTAAATACATACGTACAAGGAAACTACTGGGGAGAAAATAAGCTTATTTTGATGATGAATTTACCCTAATGCATTACTCTAACATGAAATGTAAAACACGGGATGATCTAAGAAACTTTATCATTGTAAAGCAATCATCCTGATCAAGAATGGATCCTGTACAGCAATGATAAAAGGGAAATACTTATATAAACAGCTAGCTCACCATTACCTGCTGCAAAGATGGAGTAAGTCCTCTGAGCCATCAAGGAATTAATCATGCCTTCCTCAGTTTGGAACCTAACCTATCGTTCTGATGAAAAGATAAAAGCAGATTCAGTGGGCTACTGAAAGCAAGTTTACAGGAGGATTCATGCTTGCTCAGGAATAGATGGAGCCAGGGATGTTGTGGCATGAAGAAAAGGCTGACCCAAAGGGCAGGAGGAGGACTGCCCTCACAGCAGGCTAGGACCTCTGGTGAAAAACATACAGTGTCCCCACTGCGTCTGAAAAAATACTGGGAATGGTGTTCTATGGCACGTTATGTTTGTTCGACCCGGGTAGTATTTGATGCATGCTGGTGTCTGAGTGAAAACCAATACATCTGCCAGAAATCCATGATAAGCAGCTACTGTACCCAACGAGATATAGCCTGTTTAAAAAAAGGGGCAGTGTGCACGTACAAGGTGCACATTCTAGTTTTCTTCTGAAAAAAAAAAAAAAAAAAAAAGGAGTAAGGCTCCAATCTGTCCAGCTCTACAGATAAACAGCCACATTTTGTAAAACTCCGCTTGTTACAGAGCAGTTACTTGGAAGTTCAACAGTATTGCAAAAGCAGTGGATGGTTGGGCAAGGGGAGAAATTTCAAAGCTGAGCATGGTTTAGCATTTCCACAGTTTTTAAGGGCTCTTACAGCTGCTCTTGTCTGAGCCTGTTTCAGACTGCCTTTTGTATGGGGCACAGATTCTGATATTTACACCTTGAAAGAAGTATTGGTGAACAGACAATAATTTAAGTGTGCAGTAGCTGTTTCCAGCAAATGTATAAGTAAGAAGCATTTCCTTCAGGTTTTGTAATGGAGGACAGGAGTGCACACAGGTAGTGTGTCCCCACAGTGGTTCGTTATATTTGTGAGGCATGAAGACTGCAGTTTTAACAATTATCTATAGTAAAGCTCGTGTCTAATTGAGAAAGCTTTGATGGGAACAGATGCTGCCTGAAAAAGACAGAAAAGAACTGATTCATTAAGGATGGAGAATGTGTTTAGAAAGAAGTACATGCTGCTTTCTTTAATGTGAATGTGGGCATAGGTTCCTGCGGCATACTCTGAGACCTCTTAAGGAGAGGACTTGGATACCAGAGAAGAGTGGTGGTATGGTAGATACACCCATGCTAGAATGCAGTACCACCAGTTGTTATTGTAATAAAGGCCCCATTTATCATTGCATTGTATATATTTTAACATTATAATGTATCATTTACAGCAGAAAGTTTGAAATATGAAAGATTAAGTACAGAAGATAGGAATTACTTCCCAACAGCAAATGATGACGGATGCAGGTTGCAAAACCTAAAGCAAAGTGACAGATGTGAAAAAAGTAATGTGTAATTCTTGTGGGAGGAATTTATTTCAATGCATTTGTCTACTTGATATGGACTGGTAGTCAGCTTTGTTGGGTTCCAGTGAAGAGTTACTGAAAGCCAACAAAGAAACCTTAACAGCAGAATCCAAGATTTTAAAAGCTTTTATCTGAAGGTGGAAAAATAGAAAGAACTCTGATGTTAAAGTTGGCGAAGGTGGGGAGAAGAGAAAAAAAGTGTTCCTTATGGCTGTTCCTGAATCCTAAAATACCAGAATCCAGAACATTTGCCTCAGAAATGGTCTCTTCAAATTGAGCATGGCCTGTCTTATTAGATGTCAAAGAAATGGGAATCTGAGAAATGGTAGGGACTCATTCATTGAGATCCTTTTCAGTTTTCTAAAGGGTTATGAAATAGTCAAGAGAAGATTACACTAAATTTTTGGGTTGGTGATTTGAAAACCTCTTGAAATAAATGTAGCATGCAAATACTACTATTTTTAAATAGTTTATATTTTGTAAATGACTTCTTTCTGCTGGCACGGACCTTGTTGCCATTCTGGATTCCACCATTGTGACAGACCAAAAGTGTTGTTATGATACAAAGTGGGTGAAATCTACTGTGTATCTGCTAATACTCTTCCTTCAGACTAAACGTGAAAAAACTGTTTTAAGTTCTTTATCCGCTCGACAGCTGGAGCTGTAGGGATGGTTAAAGCACAGACACTCCACAGGGCTGACCATGAGTTTGCGCACAGGTGGGTTTGAGTGAAAATCCAGTGATCTGGAAGGAGCTGTGTGTGCACGAGTGTGGATGAGAGATATAGAGACACACCACAGCAGTGCATAGGTAAGCAGCAAAGAAATTCTGGAGAAGCACTTGAAACAGAACACCTGGAGGAAAAAAAAAGGTCCAGAGTGCTATGGGACAAGTGCCACACAGGAAACGCTGGGAACCATGAGCTCCATGGAAAACGCTTTCCGTCATTTGCGTCATATTGAATTTAAGACAACAGAACTGTATGTATATTATTCATAAATAAACATGATTGCGCCAAAGAGATAACTGACTTATAATTGTTTTTCCCATCTATATGACCCTTTTTTTTTTTTTAGCTTACTGGTTGGGTCCAAAGGATATCCATAATTTGGATGGTTTGGGAAATCTAGTTCAACAGTGTGAAACCAGCAAAATCCCCGTAAAGGGGAGTTTCATGAATAGAGTTTTGCCTTTTTTCCCCCTCCCTTTTCCTCTCTCCACCTGATAGTAGAGTGACTTAATACCGAGTATCTGGGCTACCATTAAGAGACTTGGAGAAAACAGATTAACAGGTAAGAAATGAGCTATGTTAATGAAATATGCATTATAAAGAGGCAAAGTGGTCCTTAGACAAAGTCTAAGAAAGGTGGCTGTATTGTTTTCATGTGCTATGCCTACCCATAATTTATAGGAAAATAAAAAATTACTAATTGTTTTTACATCTTTTTTTTTACAATAATTATGGTCTTGCTAAGGTATGGAAGTGACCTAATAGTTACCATTGTGACCTCTAAGTTATTGTTAATTTTACTGTCAGTATGTGCTTCACGTCTCCTACTTAATGGTATGCTAATTGTACAGCAGGATGTCACATTCTCCAACATACAGATTCCCTATTTCAATTACAGCTAAGTAAATCTCCATTACTAATGAGTAAGCATTTCTTTTCCATGTACATTTGCATTATAATGGACATTTTCTTTATGCACTAAAATTATTCTTTCCTTGACAACAACTATATATTTTATTCTACAGTAAAGGCTACGACATGATGATTCATTCCTTTCTGTTGGGTTTATCTGTATTTAAGTTGTCAAATGTTCTGGATAGCCTGACATTTTCTGTCCCATGTTATTTTTCTGTACTTCCAGAATAAATTTATGTATTTGCTTTAAGACAACCTACTTAAGACAAATCACAAAAAAGTAAGCTTTCGTGTCGGTCATTAATTAAGCCGTATTTTTGAAATTGTTGCATTGTTTCATTCACGTTGCTGAGAAATCTCAACTATTTATGTCAGTGCAAAGTGACCTTTATGATATAATGTTTGACTGATTTGAATATAAAGAACAAGTGACCACAAGTGACCCATATCACTGCAAAATCCCACTCTGCTTAACAGAGCATAGCTCTTTGGCTATTAAATACAATCCCCCAAACAGACATTTGCTGCCCTGCTGATGCACGTATCTACGAATGCAACGGGCAGCTGAGTAGAACGAAGGGGGAAGGCCTCCTGTTACATCTGAGCTATGCAACTTTGCTGCCAAATCCGCTCCCTCCTGGGGGTTGTGGCCAGTCACTGGGTGCCGCTGAACTGCTGAACTTGGGCAGCCGGGCACTGCCGGTGGAGGATTCCCATCGTCTGCCAGCACAGTGACCCAAGAGGCTTTCCCTGCCCTGCGTCAGGAAATAAGGATACTGGCAAATTGAGTCCCTGTGGCGGAGATCCTTCCTTCATTCCGCATGGCCCCGGGGAAGTGTGTCACCTTTTATACAGAAATAAGGACTGTGAGTTTTATTGGTAAAGTGATAGCTTAATCTTTGATAATGCGCAGCAAAGAAGGTGGTGTTTTGATTTTGGTGGGGCCGCTGCCTATGCAGGAAATTTTGTTACAGGGATCTTTTTTAGATGCCCAAAGAAGGTTTATGTATCAAAGGGAGTGCCTTAATTAACAATCATTAATATTCTTGATGATTTTTAAGTTGGCCTGGTGGTGGGTGTTTATAAGGGGAAGAAGAATGGGTGTTGGGTTCTTATAATGATATAAGTACATGGGATATTTTAAAGAAATAAAATGTGGTGAAAGCATTAGGTGGCATTCCAGAAATGCAGGAGGAAATGTTTGCAACCAGATGTTAGAAGTAACAGATTGATTTCCTGGTCACTGTGCATGAATTCTTTCTAGCCTTGTCTATATCCTGATAATTGGATGGCTTACAGTATAGATACAAAGTTTGTTTTGTTTTTATTTTGAAAGGCCTACGGTATGCAGCCTTTTTCCCAGACAGCAGCAAAAAACAAGGTGAACAATTTTTGCACTATGTGGTTTTGAATTCTGTCATATTTTCTATTACGTTTCTGTCTTCCATTAGGATAGCTTAGTTTACTATATTAACCACCACCATCATCCATATCACTTCCAATTCTGAGTTTAGTCTGCATTATGTATGTATGTAGTTTGATGATTTTTTCTCTCTCCTGGGGGCTGGAAGTGGTTACTCACATGTTACAGTTCAAGATGTTGTTACAATGGTTGCCCTTTAATCAGTCCTTTTCGGAGTGGCTGATGACACCTGGTGGTGTATTTTGTAAATGCAGACTTAACCGTGTTTGAAGCTGGCGGAGAATTTTGACTTGTCCTACCCCGAGCACTGACAGTCAGAGTTTGAGCTGTTTAAATGAATCTGATCTCTCACACGAAAATCAAAACAAAACAAAACAAAACAAAACCGTGTTGGGAGCACATTCTCCTCCCATTCAAACTCATGTAAACCAAGAGAAGCAGTAACATTTCATTGCTGTTGGAGCAAAATTGTTCCATCTGACCTTGCTCTTGAGGTCAGTAGTGTAGTTGTTCGCAAGGGCTATGTACCTTTTTTATTTTCTTTATTAAATTTTCAAATATATTGCATAAATGAATGTTTTATATGTACTTATGCACTAAATATACTGCATTCAACTAAAAATCTTTTCTGTGAAAAACCTGGGTGATTATATTTAGTAACGATGATGTTTTTCAAAACTTTACAGTGTGAATACTGAAGGAAGCTTCTTCTGGTGTTTTATTTAATGTCATGGTTTCTGGCTTGAGTGTATGATTTTGCTTGCCAGCAAGTATATTTCCGTATGTTTATGAAATTCCACATCTCTTTGCCAGCATATTTCCTAACAATGGAATATCTGGGATATACCAATAAGTAACTAGTATGAATAAAAATCAAGAATCCTGGAAACCTGAATCTGTGGTGAAATCCCTCAGTAGCCGGGAGCTATTGGGGTCTTCTCAGTTTGATTTTTATCTGGATAGATCTTGAATCAAAACTGATTCTTTTTCATGCTTAATTGGCCCTTTACGGCCATCTGATTTTTTTTTTTTGTTTCATAAAGAAGATAAGTATTACACTTAATGTGAACTAAATATAAACTTTATCCTGATTTTTCTCAGTCTACAGGCAAATCAAGTAATCAAGTACATCGACAATGCAGTATCTTTAGTTGTTTCTAAAATATTGTAAAGAAGGGGCTCCCAAAGTGCACTGCCACTGGATTTTGTGGAAGGGGAAAGACTTGGTGAAATGAGAATGTGTTCTTTGTAGCCGAATTTGGTGGTATTATTATGCCATTCTGAGATATGCAGAATTGGCAAGTAAAATTAAATGAAAAGAAATGATAGAAGAGTCAAGTTACACTGTTAAACTGAACAACAAAGGAGGGCAAAGTTCTGAGTTCAAAAATCATTGGTTAAGGGTTGTTTGGGGTTTTTTTCTCCCTAAACCTACTGCCCCTGCAGTCCAGCATTCATGGTAAATAAATTTTAGTGTAGACAATCTGGGTTGAGGCTGTCCCTAAATCTTATATTGGAGGTGGGGGCCTCTGGTCAGGTGAATTATGTACACAACATGGTCACTCTTCAGCATAAGGGACTGGAAGTGCCACTTCTGCGTAGCACTTCTTACGCTGCTCTGTTGGAGGAGACCTCTCACACAAGGACTTCCATCACCGTAGTTCCCAGGTGTGGGAAAATGAGAATTGGACAAATGCCAGTTCTGGCAGTTGGTGGGAATTGCTAACTCCACCTTTGCAGCATGATGTTAAAAATACCTTGACCAGATTTTTATCAAGATAATTTATCGAAGAATAGGAGTGATTTTTTCAGAGATCTGAACCCACTGAAAAGTGGCATTTGACACGAAAAGGCATTGGGAGTTTTATCTTTTTGTGGCATTTCAGATAACAAATGTAAACATTTAACAGTGGCCACTGGCAGTCCTGTCTGATTTTAGTAGTATAGATTCCCAGCGCAGAATTCTGCCTCCAAATTATATGCATGCTGCTCTCATTTACTTCAGCAAAGCCTGTGCACATGTTTCAAAGGTCAGAATTTGGCCGTTGGGGCTGAATTTTCAAGGAAGAATGTATTAAAGACATCTGTGCATCAGCAGAACCATATCCTTTGTCTTCTGTAGAGCATTTCAGGAGTGAGCCTAGTGCTATTGGGCACTGCAAGTGAAACATTTGCTATTTTTTGAATTGTATTGGAATTGCTTAGCAGAAACATTTCTTGCAGTAATAGGTTCATATTTTCACTTATTTCTTGAAACTCAACACTTTGATACTCAAAAGCTGCCAGTTTTAAGAGAGTAAAGACAGGAAGGGACCGCCCTTCAGAAAATTACAGTTGAAAATACACTGTAGCAATCAAAACAAGGAGAAGTAGTCCAAGGAAATAGGTATGGTCTGTTGAGGTGCACAAACTTTTGTTTGTAGTCTAATACAGAGAGGTCAACAAGTGTTTTACACAAAGGTAGAAGACAAACCCACTTTTCATTGTGGACAGAGCTCATATTTGAAATTGTTACTAATCAGACACTTGAAAAAACTAAAACTTGGCATTCATATTCTATTTGAGTTAGTGTGTATTAAACTGATGAAGATCTTTAAGCATGTAGGTTTTCCCCTGTTTTTTAAACATTATACACTTCTTAAAATGTTTATAATGTCTAATTGCTGCTGGATTTCAAGACATATCAATTTTGTTCTTAGTTCCTGCAGATTTTGACAGAATGTCATACCAAAATATTTTGTATTTTTTGTAGGACTGGGAAACAGAAAATCATGACTGGTATTGTTTTGAATGCCATTTGCCTGGAGAGGTGTTGATATGTGACCTGTGTTTTCGTGTGTATCATTCCAAGTGTTTGTCTGATGAGTTCAGGCTTAGAGACAGCAGTAGTCACTGGCAGTGCCCAGTTTGCAGGGTGAGTACCTATGAGATTTCATGTGCTGATTAGAGGATTGATATTCATTAATAGATTCATTAAGGTGTCCAGATGGTCTGGCCAGGTTAATGGATAAACAACTGAATTTTGAAACGATGGTACATACCTAGAGCATCTATACAGAGCTACTAAAATCTGGTGCCTGTAGCAGATGGTCATTTTTGAAGACTCCAGCGAGTTTTACTTATGCATTTGAACACACACAGTATACTGTGTGGGAATGTGTGTACGTATGTATGCCATGTGTGAATGCAGTATATTGTGGAGTAAAAAAATTGCTGTATAAGATGCTACTGGTTTTACTTAACATAATTTTAATGACTCAAAATGTAATATTTTTGTATTTTGATGACTGCATTCTTAATATTTTATTGGAATCATATTTTATATTTTGAAGCCACAATCATGTTACTGATGAGGGCAGTATCAAAAAATATGGGTTGGAATCCTGCTTCTCACTTACTTCTGTGGATTCTATTGGTGCAAAAAGGCCAATCTGGATTTTACCCACAGCATCAATATCTGTATTGCTTTTTCTTTAAAATTGCTGTTTTTATGAGTATGGTAGGGGACAGCAAAGAGTACTTTTAATATACTTTCCAAGAATGAGCAGGTATGTTGTCTACATGCCATTAGAAGACTAAACATTCTAGTCAGGATGGTGCTTACTGGTACCTGGCCTTGAATCAGCCAGATAGGTCTCCTTACTGTTGTCATCTCCACATCATCTCCCCCAGTGGAGCACATTCCTAGGCTTCCTTAAATGGAGGGAATAATGTGTCTGAATGTTTAAGATAAAATTATTGCTATAGAAAGGCATAAACCTGCCAGTCGCACTCTGCCTTGGATTGCTGGAGGGAGAGGAAATTCCCTTGCTAAAAGCTTAGATCGAGCTGCAGAGCGGCAGACTGACCTTCAGATGATCTGTGCTGCAAGGAATGTAAGGGTTCAGGCGCTTTGTAGTATGGAGAAGCAGTTTTTGAAAACATGTGGATTGTTTTGTGTCAAAACATGACTTTCTGACTGCTGTTACCTTAGAACCAGTTGTAAAAAACTTGTTGCCTGTTGCCTAAGACTGGGAGCTCTCAGGGTTTAGGGAAATAGCAAGAAAATTGAGCCTGCCTTCAAGGAAGTGAAAAGGGATAAAACAGAAATAGTGGAAAAAACAATTAAGAATAAGAACCCGTACCCTATTGCTCCATATGGAATTACTAGCATTTAATTTAACTAGTCAATATTCCTCCTGTTAAATACGAAGAATGACCATATATAGATGAATTGCTTTCAGATTTTTCAATAAATATCTTTAATAATTGTTTGTTCTCATAATAAGTATTGATAGTTCTTACAAATAGTTAAAATCAGGTAAACTGGATCCAGTCTCTGCTCTAGTTTACCAGTAATTTTAGATGACACCTGGTGAGAGTAGGGAATGTAAATGGTTTAAGCCACCTTGTATATGAGGTGGCTTATACCATTTCTTTTGTAACATGGATCTCATTGGAGTGGAATGCTGAATCATTGCATGAAATATGCACAGGTACGTAGGGTGGTCAGCTTTGAGATCCATTTGACTTTCATCCTGGAGCCTTAAAATCCCTTAGGGCAATGATATTAAGCAAATGTTTACCTTGAAAAAAAATCCTGTGAAACTCAGACCATGTGCACTGTGTCTGTCGTTCTGCATATTGGTTCCCTTCTAGTTACACAAAGACTAAGGAGAGGGTTTGGGGGCTCTTAAATACTTCCTGCCCCAGGGATCTTTGGCTTGCTCAGTGCCTCAGATAGGATCAACCTATTTTTGTGAATATTGCCATTTTGAATGCCATGGCATCCTTTTTCCCTCTGTGCATGGCAGCCCCTGTTTTCCTTGTAATTAATTCAAATCACTTCAAGCCCTAATTCTGCAAACTTGGGCTAAGGAGGCTTGCACAGTCCCTGGAAGCAAGGGAGAGGTCTAGTTTGGCATGGGAGTTAGCATCCTTGTGTCAGGCTTCATTATTCTTCTGCTGCTTTCTCCCCA